TTTCAGTTAGCAGCTGAGCACATCAATCATTTACACCACCTGTGTCTCAATACAAACCAAGCAAAATCATTATCACTGATTTTTTAATTTAATTTTTTTTTTTGGTCTCTCTATTGAAATATTATCTTACACCTCAGATTACCTCAAAGCTCTCTCATCATGCCTTTTATTTAAAGTTGCATTGTTGTTGTTCTGGACAAAGACAATAACATGTTTGTTTTTAATTTGCCCATTTACAGACTGTCATTTTTGGATCATTCCTAATTGCACATGGGTTCTTCAGCGTCTATGCAATGTGTATTGATACACTTTTCATCTGCTTCTGTAAGTATTCAGTATGTGTTTTTTCCCCCTCAGTGGTATAAGTGAAAGGATGAAAAGGTTAAGACTCATGTCCTTAGCTGGCTTTGTGGATCTGCTGTTACCAGGCTGCAACTACAAAACAGTGTTTGTTTCTAAGAAGATATTGCTTAGTACATGCTCTTTAAACCTTAACAGCTGACAGAATGGGGTTTTCCAAGCACAGGAGAGTCAGCTATGAAAGGAATCCCAGGCTTCATGGCATGGTGCTGGCATGGAATTATTTTTTCATTTCTTGATATTTTCAACTTTATATTAATGATGAGCTTCTATTAACAGAATACAACATAACAGCCTTGAGAACTAGATTTCCTGAGGAAAAAGATTCTGATAAAGCCAAAATGACAATGGTTTTAAAGGCACTTGGGGTGGCGTAGTGCCCTGGGCATTTGACTGCTAACCACAAGGGTGGTGGTTCAAACCAGCCACTCCTCAGAAGGAAGATTGGGCAATATACTTCCATAGTGATACTGCCTCTGAAACCCAAGGAAGGGTCACTGTGAGTCGGATCTGACTTGATGGCAGTGTATTTGGTTTTGGTTTTTTGGAGGTCTATTCACATTATGTACCAATGAAAAATGGAAAAGATTCAGAGAAAAGCAGCTCTGGGATGTGCCTGGGTCAATTCCGATTCTTAAAGGTATAATACTTTTTCAGAGCTTCCTCACTAACTTATATGCTGTGTCTCTACATGGTATGTGCAACTCAAATACATAGAATGGCTATGTTTTATTTTAGTATCTCATCTTAAAAGCCCTAGAGAAATGAATGCTGATCAGAAGCTTGATATGGCCCTTCCCTTAGCAACCCTAGAAAAGGTAGTTTCAGCTGGTGAAAGACCAGAATTTGTCAGCCCTACAACTAAGGACCCAAAGAGATTAGTTTTGGGGCACAGTACCCCTATGGCAAGTTGCTACTGAGTGAGCGACTTACATAAAATTAACAGTTTATTTTTTAGCACCATCCTCACCTGGGCTCAAGAAAGAAGATAATAAGAGAATGGAGATATATGCAAGTCAAAATCTATTAGAAAGTAGTCTGCCCTTGTTTGTTTTTGTTTTTTTCTTTCTTCTCTGCCCATTTTTAAATCAATTGTCAATAACTGGACAAAGAAATCAGAGGAACTAGGTTCACTAGTCAGTTCTTCCTCTGACTGTCTATAAATGGCACTGGATTGTATCATCTTGTCCATGTGCCTTAGTAGCTTGTTAGAAAAAGCTGTCTGCAAAATACCACCTAAACAAGCTACAGGTCTGGTGTGGGGTAGAAGAGACAAGGTCCTCGAACACACAAAAGTTCTCTTCTCTCATTTCTAATGCTAACCCTCTTCTCTCATTTCTAACACTAACTGGGAACAGTACTTGCAGACCCTACTGATCATCCCTTTCCAATTCTTAAAACTAAAAATGATTCACAAGATATATCACAGGAAATGTCCAGATACCTAGTTTCTAGTTTTTGGAAGCCTTGGCAAATTGTGTTTAAATTAGCAGTGGATTTTAAATGTGGGCAATAAGAAATGTTTTCTATCTACCTTTATTAATTACCAACCTCATTGAAAACCAGGTACAATTTTAGCTTTATTCTGCACATTATGTGTTGAACGTGAATAGTTTCTCTTCAGTGACTCTTGTTTTTGATAACAAAAGTCAAGTGAAACCATATTGCATTTCTTTTCTTTCTCTAACTCTTACCATGAGCAACATCTTATATATCTCATTGTTTTATCTGGGCTGCCAGAAAACTGGTATTTGTAAAAATCAACGCAATTTTTAAACACTTCCTTTATAAAAATATAGACTCTTTTTAACTTATAAGGCACTGAACATACCAGCCCCTGGATGGGAAAAAAATGGTAGTCGCAGATGATTATTGAGGTGCTCCATCCAAGCTTCTTACTAATTCTTCAAGGGTAATAGTGCTGCTAGATATAGAAATACAATTAAGATCAAAAGAACAAAAAATGTTCCATGTTCATCATATTCCTTCCTTCGCTTTTTATTTTGTATGTGAGGAAGGTCACTGTGAGGTCTAATGTAAAAATCTAAACCAGTAAGCCACCATTCTCTAAAATGTGTGATAAAAAATAATTTATATTCATATAATTTTCATTTTATAAAGTACTTTTTTCTTATCACCATTGGTTAAACATCTCCCAGGTGCTCCCTATATCTATTATTATTTCCTGAAGTACTCTTACATGGTTTCCATATAAACTCTTTAGTTTGTTTTCTAACTAACCCATATGATTCAAAAAGATCATGCACATATGATTAAAATAAGTTAGTACTGAAAAATAAAAAATGGCAACTGCGTATACTGAACAAAGTAGAAAAAATAATTATGATAGCATCAACGGGGGGTTCCTCTGACATCCTGCCCATGATCTTAATAAGAGATTTTCATTTTTTCTATGGATAGCTATAGCTGATGATGGATATAATTTGAATGATTCTCTTGGACTAGGAATTCATTGTTTCCTGATTACTTGGCTTAGTCTTAGGAAAAAGATTTAATTGGTCCACTTGGATTTCAAAGCATCTTAACCACAGCTCCACCTTCTGACCAGAGATTGTTCTCTCTCAGCACCTTTTTCCAGAACAAGACTGTTGTTTACTGGCACTTCCTCTATTTCTTGTAGTGCAGGTCTTCTGGCAACAAATTTTGTCTACTTTTTACTTCTGGTCTAGAATTGATAATATCTGTCAAGTGTGCCTCACAGTGTGTAAGTTAGGTTTAGGGTTTTAGTTGTTTCCTAATGTCATTTTTTTTTTCTTGGCAGTCTTTGTTTATTTTTAAGGCTTTTGGAAACTATAATAGAGTAAAAATGGCTTTACTCCATCATCTTTACCAGAAGGCCAAGATTTTTTAAGGGTAATTGTATTCTGAAAATAGTGTTATGAATGATTTCTAACTTTACCTTCAGCTTAAAAAATACATATCATAATAAACACTTCATTAAACACA